GATGCTGAAAATGTACCACTCATTGTATGCAAATGGTGGAATTCTTGTCTAGTAAGGAGTTGAGTTTAAAGACTCTATAAGTATAAATGGGCAAGAGAGGTAAAGAGAGGAAAGATGGAAGGGATTTAAGGATGATTATTGTGAGGAGAAGGGAGATTATATATAATTTCTGAGTGTAGATATGCAGCATCAAAAGAGATGATGAGTGAGAGAATGAGTGGGGTTTTGATATCTAATTGTATATCCCTCCCTTCATACATAATAACATGGTTCACCTAACTCTAGAGCTACATCCATGGAGAGATTTTACTATTATGTATCAAGAAAGAGAATATATAATCAGATGTCAAAATCCCACTCTTTCTCACTCGTCATCTTTTTTGAGGTTGCATTATCACACTAGCTCAGAAATTACATATATTCTTCCTTCTTCTTACAATATTCACCCTTAAACATCTTACCTTTCTTTCACACCCATCTCTTTTAATAGAGTTTTCAAACACAATTTCTTATTGGATAAAAATTCCACCACTTGCTTACAAGGAATTACCATATCAATTACAACTCTAAAATAGCAGCCTAATATGCCACAACTTTTTTCTCAAACCTTTAATCTGTTCCCCAAGTCCTCTTACATATTTCCTCTCTCACACTCGTCTCTTTTTATAGTTAGGAAGGGCAATTTCCTTTGACCAGACGGGTTTTCGCCCTGTCCCGTCCGTAATAGGGTGAATTTGGTATCCCCAAAATGGGTTTGGGATGGATATGGTGAAATAATTGAAAACCCGAAGCGGATTTGAGGAGAGACGTATTTAATGATGAACCCGCCCCACCCCGATTATATATGTACCTTTAAAAATTATATATATATATATATATATATATATATATATATATATAATATATTTAATATTTTTAAAACCCTTATTTCTTTTTTGGAAGTATCGATTAATATAATAGTAATATTCATCACTCAGTATAAGAGAGATGTGTGCATGTGACTTAGTATTAAGGATTCAATCAAGGTCCCAAGGAATCAACTATTCTCTTCTCTTCACTTTTCAATTCACAAACCATTGACAAACCCTAGAAACACAAAATGTGTCATTCCTACAAAGTAGAAAAAAGACTGAAGAGTTCAAGAGACCTGTGATATCGTCCATCCTCACTTGTCACATTGGTATTTTTTTTACTAAATAAAAAAAATGGCATAACCCGCCCCGCCCCATGATTAAACGAAGTATTCAAGGTAGAGTTGGTACTTTATTTGCCAGAGTAGAGGCAGGGATATTATACTAGTTACAAACTCATCTCGGAGTAGGGACATAGTTGGTATGACATATTTCCTAAAGGGGCAGAGTAGGGTTTAGCCCATTACCATCCGTATTTATATTCTTCAAACTTAATTTCTTAATGGACAAAAATTCCACCACTTACCTATAAGGAATTACCATATCAATCACAACTCTAAAATAGCAGCTTAATATGACACAATTTTTTCCCAAATCTTCAGTTAAAAGACTTTAGTTTCTTAGGCGTGTTGGAACGGCCCAAATAAGTTAGACCAGTCTAACTTCTACCAAACAACATCATTCATGCCACAAACCCAACACTATTATCAGGAGATAAGCAAAAAGACTCTTTCGCCCTTAAATAAAACCACATTGTTTAATTTATAATCCACTTAATAATGTAGACCGAATGAAACGCCTACATTTGATGTTACCTTTCAACTTGTGTTTTGTTTTGTTTTACCCTTTATCATCATTTGCATCATGAATGGATAGCTCTGAGCCACTGATGATGTACATTGCCAATCTAATAACTTATGTTATATGGATTTGGGTACGAGTGTGGGGCACAGGTTCATATTTATGCGTCGGATGTGTCAAATCTCCCAACATAAGAACACAGCGACACTATAAATATTTATTTATTTAATTATTTTATTCGTATTTTAAAAATAAAGTAATGTTTTTATGTAAAAAATTGTTTAACTTATTTTAAAGTAATAGTTTAATGAAATTGAAGGATTGAATATGCTTTTTAAATAAATGTACAACTAAAAGTATCGGATATATATCTCATACCCATGTCCGAGCAACATGTGTCCAACACGCATTTTTCACTAGTTTCGAAGAGTAACATAGCTAAAGACTATATTTAGGGAGTGTCATTTAACATAACTGAAGACTATATTTGGGGAACACTCCGTGTCATTGTAAGTGTTGTAAAGCATAAAATGGGAGTGAAGAAAGAAATGAAACACGAAAAATATAAGAATATTACGTGATTCAGCCACTGGGGCCTACATCCACGACACAAAGAGCCCATGGTTACATCACTTAATAATATATTCTTTCTTAATCCTTGTATACAATGATTACCTCAATTTATAGATGAAAGAATAGAGGTGATAAATATGAAAAATACATTAATAAAAGATTCCTAAAATCAATGCCATAAATCACTACAATTAATATTCTATGATAGGCTAAAATCTCTTCTATGATATTCTCATATAAAATATTCTTGTCAAGGACTAATTTAAGAGTTCATATAATAATATTTTCCAAATATAACATATTCTAACACTCCTTCTCAAGTTGAAGGATGTATGGAAATAACGCTTCGCTTGTATATCAAATCATGAAACAGATCCACGGTGAATGCTAAGAACAATGCTACCGAACACATCGGTAACCCAAATAAGTCCACATAGCACTGAACACATGGCGAAGGTTACAAACAATGCTACCGAACACACCGGCAGCCCAACAAGGCAAAGAACGATGCTACCAGTAACCCAAATAAGTCCACATAGCACTAAACACATGGCGAAACTTATGAACAATGCTACCGAACACATCGGCGGCCCAACAAGGCAAAAAACGATGCTACCGAACACACCAACAGCCTAATAAGGCACAAACAATACCGAGAGAACCTTAGCACATGTGAAATATTACCAAAAAATGGGTCTTAACTTGGGAGGAAAGCCTCCCTACACCGGAGCGATCCATCCGAGAGATGAAAAAGATTCAAAACAAAGTTAGAAATACTGGAACAACACCAGGAAAAAGGCAATGCAATATTCTTTAGGCCAAAATAGAGAGCTCCAACAAAATTAAACCACGAAAGAGAAATCTGAAAAATAATGCCTTGAGATAGCGTGGTGGTTGAACCTTGGACCGCCATCGGAGATGAGGCTTATGCGGCCATAAAATGGAAGCTAAGAGAAATTAAAACAAGTAGAACACATAAATATTACGTTGTTCAGCCACTAGAGTCTACATCCACAGCACAAAGAGCCCAAAGAGCTATATCACTTTTATTATAATCTCTTAATTTATATACAATACAATGGCGGATGCTCTTTTATATAAGATAATAAATTATGAGAATGGTAAGAATTAGTAAATAGGAAACAAGGAGGATTTTTCTCCATTGATTTCTCTAGTAACACCAAATCTTCAATAATATGAAACAACATTAATTATTGAAAGATTTTCCTCTACTGATTCCTTCATTAAATCTTTAATACTCCCCCTCAAGTTGGAGCATGAATGACCAACTTGACATTGAGATGACGAGTAACAACAAATGTGAATGATGAAGATAGAAGATGAAAAACAATGTTACCAAACACACTGGCAGCCCAAACAAGTTAAACAAAAATTGTTGGAGACACGACAAAGGTGAGGACAATGCTACCGAACACATCGGCAACACAAACAAGTTGATAAAAACTGTCGGAAACACAACAAAGACGAAGACAATGCTTTTGAACACACCAGCAGCCCAAACAAATCAATAAAAACTGTTGAACACACGACAAAGGCAAAGAACAATACTGTCGAACAAACCGGCAGTCCAAACAATTCATAAATAGCACTGAAAAACCCTTAACAACATTTTAGATGCTAAAGGAATACCCTAAAATAGGGGTTCGAACCTAAGAAGGGAAATTAGGTTTTGATACTATGTTGTAAAGCACAAAACGAAAGTGAAGAAAGAAATGAAACACGAAGAACACAAGGATATTACGTGATTCAGCCACTAGGACCTACATCCACGGTATAAAGAGTCCAATGTGCTACATCACTTAATAATATATTCTCTTTTAATCTTTGTATACAATGATCACATCTATTTATAGATGAAAGAATAGAGGTGATAAATATGAAAAATACATTAATGGAATATTTCTAAAATCAACACCATAAATCACTCCAATCAATATTCTATAGGCTAAAATCTACCTATGATATTCTCATATCAAATACTAATTTAAGACTTCCTATAATAATATATTTCAAATATAACATCTTCTAACAATAATTACTCTTTGAAACCAACACAAACCCCCCATTAGGGGATTTACATGTGGTTAGACAAACAAATGTTATTGAGGCAGTGGTCATGAGGTCCGTGACTAATAATTTATGATGAGAAAAAGATGCGATTTTTAATAAATATCAATTTTTGGTGGTTTACCAATTGTTGTTTGACTATGTATTTGAGTGTGCAAATCTCACCCCGTGTCTCTTGCCAAAAAACTCAATTCACCAAATATATGCATGTGAGCCGCCTACATAAATCTTGTGCTTGATGGGGGTAACATCGCCACCAATCCTTCTTTTGGAGTGTTACTGTGAGCATGCAATGGGTGGGTTGTTACTGTGAGCATGACACTTCGTGAGACGACTTTGAAAAAGCAAAAAAAATGGGATACGCCAGACATACCAAGACAATACTGGCACAATAATGAGAAGGAGAGTTTTTGCTAAAAATCGAAATAACAAATCGTTAAGGGTATCAGAGGTAGGTTAGTGGGTTGTTTGCTATAAAATCCATATTTCCGCAAATCCAATTTTTTCCAATTAATCCTAATTACAAAATCCAAACTGGCACTCACTACTGGCACATCACACTTTTCAGATATAATTACTAACTAGTACAAATCCTAGAGTGGAATCCGGAAAATCAAAGCAGGCTCAGGTCATAAAATAGAAATAATCTTCAATATCAACAACAGTTTTACAACTGTGGTTTACTCAAGTGACAGGTCATATTTAGGCATGTCCCACACTCTTTCCAAATCAACGGTCATTAATGAAACTGTGATCCTAATCACGCACACTGGGCTAAAAAAACTCAAGTGAAAAGCGCTAGTGATCCCAATCATCACAACCCCTGGAACTCACAGCCCCATGATGCAAAATCAGACGGTGTACACGATCACAAAGCAAGGAAGCACAGCCCTCGGATTGAAAACCAGTAGCTCTTCTTCTTCATCCCACCTGGTGTGGACCCCACCGCCCCTGCCCGCAACCGAATCAAACCCGGGATCCTCCTTTTCCACGGCATGCTGGTCACACCCGATCCGACCCGCAATGACCCGGCACACCAGCGTCGCACGCTTCACGTGCATGTACTCGAACTCCTCCTCGATCTCCTCAGGGATCGCCACGTGTGCCCTCCAGCTCGTCGATAGCGTGGAGATTCCATCCATCTTGGGTGAGAACCCCGACTTGATAATCCCACAAACGCTACAGTACTGGTGATTACAGATGCTGGAATTACCATTTTGTCCCAAGTCACACAAGAACGTCGTGCAGTGAAACCTCAAGAGCTCGTTACCGTCGGCGATACACCTCTCGTTCCGTACCCGAACGACGCCGTTCCGCGCGGCTTTCGATTTCACGGTCTCTCTGTACTCTTCGAACCTGGTCAATATCTTCGGACTGTTGTGGATCTTCAGGACCCGATGAAGGGTGGGGCTCTTCACCTTATCGGGCCAACCCGTTTGGAATATAATCCGAACTATGTTCTTACCTGAATCCCCATCGAAGAGCTCCGAAACAGCGTGCTTAATCGCCTGGTGTTGCTCAAGGAGATTGGGTTTGAGGAAGATCTCTCCACAAGCCGGACATGGATAGATATCGTTTCGGAGTGGGAAGAAGGGTTGATCGGCGGAGATGTCAAGTTCTGCGCGAGACACTGTTCGTCTCTTTCGTGGATGATCCGAAATTGGAGTCTCGGTGGGTGTGAGGGCGATAATGGATGAATGTTGAGAGCATCTGGCGGAGGAGGATATGGATGGCGATGGAGTAGTCGGGTTGGGGTGGGTTTGGGTAGGGAGAGCGGGTTTGGAGGTGAAGATCCGTTTGAGTAAGGACCAAGAGGAAGAGAGAGCTTTGTGGGTTTTGAGTTTGAGAGGAGAAGGTGATAATTGAGAGAGAGGAGGGAGTTTTCGTTTCTTGGATTGGTGGTGATGGTCGTTTGATGTGAAGATAAAGCAACCCAAGTGGAGGAGGACGACGAGGAGGAGAGAGACGAAGGTAGTGAAGAGTGGTGGTAAGCTCGCCATTGTTATGGGAGCTGATTGAGGTATGCTGATCTTGCTGCCATGAATGAGGAGTTTAGAGAGAGAATGTTAGAGAGAGAGAGAGAGAGAGGAGGAGGAGGGAATGATGAGAGAAGAAAGAAGGGGGGGCAGAGGAAAGGAAGAATGTAAAGGAGGGATTGGTAGGGACGTGGAAGAATAAAGCTAATGGTTAGGTGGAACGCAACTTCAAGGTATCTCTCTCTCTCTCTCTCTCATGGAGGATATATCGTCGTTGTAACAGGGAATTCTGTTAATTTCACAGAATTTACGGAGCAGTCTTTTATTCCACCTGCTTTGAAAAAAGGTTCTCCCTGGAAACTTATTTATTCGAAGGTTTATCTGTCTTATTTATACTTTTTCCTAATAAACAATAATTTCCAGCTCAAAAATATATATATACGTTTGGTATGATTTTAATCTACTAAAAAAATATAATTATTTTCTTATTTATTTATTTTTAATATTACGATATCATGACACATAATCAATAGGGATAAGGTTATCACTGTAGTAAAGGTGAAATGCATTGATTTTTTTTTTTTTTTATAATTATTATAATAATTAAGGCCTCTAGTCTTAGTAGTTCAACTCCGATAATGTGTAATTTTAATCTCAGGTAAGTTTCAAATTGAATTTATGCTATCTTTAAAAGTAACTAATTAAAATTCGAATAAGATTTTTTTTTTTTTTTTTGAATGGTAAGATTTTTTTATTGATAGAAGTTAATAGAGAGGATATATATTGTCACATCTCTTCTCTGCTACCTAAGGGGAATCCAATGTCTGAACTTGTGGTCACTGGCGGATATGAAGAGAGAACACATGGTTTTTGTCAGATTGTTAATCTCCAAATCTTAAAATTGTTTTTGATAAGTATAAAGTGAATTTATTTCTTAAACAAGTACACGTCTGTGCATGGTTTGGAGTTTATTATAGATTATATATATAAGTAACTTATACATGGTATTGTCTAATATTTGTCCGTCTCTGCACCAGAAAATATGTTATCAATTTCTTGAGTCAATCTATTTTTAAAGCAGAAAAATAATTTGGACTTTTTATGAGCTGAAACTTAAGGAAACCAGAAGATCTTTCCAAGAAAATGAGAGAAAGTGTTTTTGTGTTTAATGAATCCTTCTGATACCTATAACACCTCTTATTCTAAGTTTTAAAAAATATCGATTGTGATTTGATGGAATTTAGAATTCAGAATAGAATTTCTAGTGTTTGGGATAAAAAGAAATTAAAATAAAATTAGATCTCATGAGATTTGAAATTTCAAACTAGCATCATCAAATCCCAAAAGGGTAAAATTTGATAGGATAAAATGGTATTGTAGATTTGCAACCTTGCCAAATTATTACCACAAGGACGAAACGTTTAATCATGAAATTATTGTAGATTTGTAACCTTACCAAATCGTCCTTCTATAAAATATAAAATTACAAAATCTAATTAATAAGGATAAAATGGTTAGAATAAAATTTTCTTTATAATTATATTCTAATTAATTTTCATTTTTGTTTTCTATTTTCAATTTCAATTCTAAGACCCAAATGAATTTGGCATTTCAAATTCCTAATAAAAATCGGTAAACTTTTATCAATTTACTTTGCAAAAAGAATGTAATAATGCAATTTTTTAAGGTTGTTTTTCAATTTTCTACATTTAGTCACACAATGGAACCTAATCAAAAGCTACGGACCTACCTAAAAAATACTACAGAAAAGCTACGGACCTATGGTGTTCATGATGTTAATTCGGGCCACACGATCTACACAATGGTACAATACAATATTGGCGTCAATTGTTCTATTGGGTGGGCCACTGTAATCTTCTCGATAGCCCCATGAAAATTCTTTCGGATCCATTCCTGTCCCCCTTTCTTTAAGCCATGTCGCCTGATTAATTCCACTTGTGTATATAAAAATGTTGAAAATGACTTTTAATTACTAATTAATCCCACATATGAGTGAAATTATCCCAACCACGGTGGATGTAACCACAGGGGCAGTTTGGGGAATTCAGAAAGTGGGCCAGCCAGCCCAGCTTTGGTACTTCAACCTGCCCCCAAATTGGCGGGAAAGCAGTCCCCATCTGGTGCTTGTTTTCCTCCGAATCTAGTTCCCACCAAAAAGTTTTTCACTGTTTGATTGAGGGTGGGAACTGGGAAGAGAGAGAGGAGAGGAAGGGAAAGGATTAAAACTCCACTCCTGTGAGAAAAGTTTTTACTTTCTCATTATGGGTAAGGTTGATTAAAACTGAAAATTAAGCATAAAAATATTAAAGATGTTAATTTTAATTTAATTTTTTAATACTGCTAGTTGATTTTTTTTTAATGTTTAATTAACATCCAATGATAAGAGCCTCATTCCCTTAACATTATATTTATATCGACTGTAATTCAATACCGATTGTCAATTGACAGAAATACTTAATTTATTCCTAATTTACTTATTGATCTGAGTTGCCAAACATTTTCTATTCAATCAAATAATACAAGCAAAATGTTCCTTTCACTGATTGCAAGTGTTATACCTCTTCTACCCATCTTAAATGTTGTTCCATCAAATTTTCTATCCGGCTCGGGAAAAAAAGCATTGAGATTTAAAATATTTAAGAAATAGTTTTTAAAAGTGAATTACACGTCTGATACAAGTTTTAATATACTTATCCAACAACATCGGTTTGTTTTGATGGAATATATATATATTTTTAAGTAATATATATATATATATTTATTTATTTATTTATATTTTGGTATTTAGTAAAGATATATATATATATATTTATTTATTTATTTATATTTTGATATTTAATAAAGATTTAGGTCAAGATTGAGATCGAGTCCATCAGGTGAGACGTATAAAATAGCTTGTCAAAAATTAATAAGTAAGTTATTTTTTTGAGATTTTAATATTTTTCTCTTGGCAAATTTACGACAACCAAATACCTAAAAAATAAAAAATTTATCCCAACAAACGAGGCTAAATCAAAATGTAACACCATCACATAAATTCAGTATGTATTAAAGAAAAATTGTTACATTCTCAAAGTAAGATTGTTACATTATTCCTCAATGATATATTGTATTTTCAAAGAAAAGTTTTTACATTACATCTTAATATAATTGTTGGGATTTGTATGTCTTGATATAACAAATCTTTATTTGGATTGAAAAAATATCATGTTTCTTTCTAATCTGAAATGATATTTATAATTTATACAATTGGTGAATAAAAATATATTATGTTTCGATTCATTATGAAATTGAATATATCCACTTGATTGTAAGAATTCTTTATATGCATGTGATGACAATTAATATTAATACAAATATATAAATAATGATCATAAATAGTTCGTAGTTGGTAATTAAGGATAGACTATTAATTAACGATGTCTTGAATTGAATTCGTGATGGTTTGAGATTAAGGATAGACTATTAATTAACGATGTCTTGAATTGAATTCGTGATGGTTTGAGATATATTGTTAGAGTTGTAATATGCAATTGTTCCCTTTCATCGTCATGACATTTGACTCTCAAGCTTGAGAGAAGAATATATTCCATCTTTCATTAATTAATAATTACTTTGATTTGATCGGTAGATCTCATGTAATTTAATGACGGTCACTTTGAATAATTGTGTAATTAATAGTTAGATGGTTATATGAATATATTTTCAATTTTTGTACAGTTGTTACTTGTATTTTATATTGATTATGATTGATCATCACAGGAAGCTGTTGTGCACCTTCAGACTGATCATATGCTTCTCAGCGCAGCCAGGACTTAATCAGGGGGTTAAGGGGGCTTGAGCCCCCCAAAAAAAAAAAATTTTTTTTTTTGCTATTGGTAATCCAAAATAAAAAATAAAATAATAATAATAAAAATAAAAAAAAATAAAATTAATAGTAGTAGTTCACCTCATAAAAAATAAAATAAAATTAGTAGTAGTAGTTCACCTCATAATATATTAGCCCCTTATAATATATTGCTGGGTCCGCCATTGCTTATTTTTGTGTATTTTTGGTCATTTCTCTAACTTTTTGATTCTCCAGCTCCAGCCTCAAATAGCTATGAAGATTAGTTTGTTCAACTCCAACTCTAGCCCATTACTGAACAACCAAGCCTGTATTATCCAAAGCATGTGACATAAAAATATTGGATCAAGGCAGGTTTATTTGTAAGAGATCATACTATAACTTGAATTGACTACTGTTAATATAATTGAAATGTTTTTTTTTTTTTTTTTTTTAGGTAAATGGGTAAGCTTTAAATAAATATAAAAGAAATATACAAGAGGTCCAGATATGGACAATACATCCAAAGACAACCATAGCTGTCACAAGAACATCAAAGCTATCCACCAGTTCAAGCAAACATTTTTTTTTTTTATGATAGTTGTGGTTATAATTTTGTGCAAATACACCAACATTTTATATGTATAAAGTTGAACCATAATAGTACAAGTGATTTTGTTTTTGGATTAAAGAAATATCAAGTGAAACTATAAATAAATCATGAAATAATTTGCATATACAATTAATTACCTTATATTTTTATATAACTTAATATTTGCTGGCGTCGCAAAGGAATGCAACCAACAAGCCAATGACCTAGAGGTACCAAGCCCTTACTTCTCAAAGAGAGATCAGGGGTTCGAGTGTGTGCGAGTACCCAATTAGGAAAAAAAAAGAGTTGGTGATATATGGGAGGAAACTAAAGGGTGAGAAAATATAATTCTTATTTATATTTCAGTTACAAGTATATGAGAAAATTTAAGAAAGAGAGGAAACTAAAAGGTGAGGAAATATAATTCTTATTTATATTTCAGTTACAGTATATGACAAAGTTTAAGAAAGACGAAATAGGCAAACCATGTACAAATAGCGAAGGAAAGGAAACAAGAAGTAAGAATTTCTTATTTCCAAATACACTCACCCTAATGTTTTTAGGGACAACCAAATTTGGAGATATTAAAAATAGGTCAATACCTAATTTTTTTTAGAGACGACCAAATTTGGAGATATTAAAAATAGATCAATTATTGCTAAATTTTACAGACAGTTTATTTTTTTATTTTTAAAAAATTTTTAGAATTTGACAGCTTTTTATTTTTATACATAAATAGAGTAGTTGAACTGATAAAAAAAAAAAAAATGGTAATAGTAAAACTGTAAAAGAGAAGGTATTGTACCTTTTTTCTATCATTCATCTTTTAGAAGATTATTCTTATTCTGCTAGTCCATCTTTTATCTTCTTTTGGCAGAAAGCTACCGACATTGTTTTAGATTTTAAGGATTAGTTCTCCACTTTATGGGTTGGGTTGGTGCCTAGTGCAAAACTTAGCAGAGAAGAGCAGATGGGGCATTGCTCATGAGTGTGATCATGACTAAGCCACACATAATTAAGGCCCACAATATTGTCCTGTCACATTGTTGATTGCACCTTCTGTATTTGCATATATATATGTATATGTGTATATATATATAGTGAAGCGAAAGCTTAATGAGTTGTGATTGAACCCACGTGTGACACAGGATAGATGATTTTGTCTGGAGAATATGTGTGGTTTACCCTAAGAGCATGGAGAGTAATCCACTGTTTACTAAACAAATTTAAAAGCCGAGCTCGAAAGTGGACTAGTTTGCTACACATGAACAACTTTTGATTAGAAAATGGTTGACTTGGACTGGATTAATGTGAATTTACCTTGAATTTAAGATGAGTTTTAATTAAAAAAAAATTATGAATAATGTTAAAGATTGTCGACATTATCATGATCCTCTTTTTCAATCATTGTCGACAATTCAGAATTTTTATTTTTCTTTATTCAACATGAGTTGTTATTATAGTAGTATTAACCAACCTAATCCTTAAAAAATAGACTTAATTTGGACTTGGATTGCACTCTGACTTGGAACGAAGGTTTTGATTCTGAATTTCTGATTGATCTATCAATCCATTCAATTTGTATACCTACATCAAATCAAATTAAACATGCGCTATATTATTGTGGTAAAATCTTTAGCATCTTGCTTTATTCTCTCTCCTACAGATTTTTAATTTAATTTATTTAATTTTTATTTTTCCTTGTACAATGATTGACCTTATCTCTCTAGCATTTGAACATAAATTTCACAGTATTATTTTATATTATCTTCTCAGTTTTGGCATAGAAGTGATTTTCAAGGAATGAATGTAAAGTTGAGCTATATAAAAGGGTGATGATGAACATATGCAATCATTTTGAGGAGAGTCATTGTTTGCATGATGCAAGAAAATCTTAAATATGGTGACCGTTTGATCTAATTTAAGTGTAAAAAGAAATAATTATATATATATGTATACGTATTACAAAGAGCCGAGCGAATAAATGTGTGTAACATCTTTGTGGGCTTTAACTTTATCCTGATTCGTAAAGAATATGTAGGATTCATTAATTACGCGCAGGACACCAATCCATCCAATTTTGAGGCAGTATGCATTAATTAGGGGACAACTTGAAGGACACGACTGGATAGTTGGATAGATCTAAATAAAGTGAGGAAGATATACGTTGTCTTCAATTTCTTCCCTAGCTTCTTTAAGATATGGTATATAAATAGATAACATCCACAGTATGGACACATAACTGGGCGACATATATGGTTGTCCTGTATTTAATTCATTGAATTATTTGTCAAGAAAAAAACAAATGGAGAGAACAATAAAAACTGATGATTGACCTGTAGTTCGAGACTTCAACCAAAGTCCTCATGCACTTGCATGTGTTTGATGCAAATGGTTATGTTACAGACAATCGTCATAGTTATGAGTAGATCAACTCAGATGAAACTAGGGTATGTTAGTCATGTAACTCCACAGTTAATTAGTTTTGGGTTTGTTCATAATATATATATATATATATATATATATATATATATATATATATATAGTCGAAGAAGCTAAAAGGGAACTTTCGAAAAAAAGAAAGAAAAAGAAGCTAAAAGCGGTTGTCGGTTATGCGTTTGATTTTGGTTTTGGTATTGCAATCAGATTTAAGTTTGGGACAGGACAAGTGAGGAGGTATGTTTTGGCTGCTATAGACGGTGGCTTTACTCAATACATTGCTATCATAATGCCATGGCCTTTGGCGTTTCTCTTGTACTAAGACACCCTTACCTAGGTTGTTTCCTTTGGTGAATAGCTTGCATCAAGGGGACATGGACTATTGGATTATGTTACGTTTAAAAAAAAAAAACAACAACAACAACAACTGAGGGGAAAAATAAAAATGGACTTATGTCATCACTTTTTAACGACTCTAGTTAGGTCGAATCGGTCTACTCAAAAAATAAGATCCTCTCATATTCTTATTCCATCAAATTAGTAAAAATTCCACTATTCAAAAAATAAGATCCTCTCATATCCTTTTGCTTCAAATTAGTAAAAATTCCACTATTTTATAGAGTACATCATTAACTGAACGGAACATAATGACTCTCCCACCAAAGAGGATCCTATCCCTACTCCAGTCAGTTTGAAAGTGGTGCGTCCTACCACTATTAAATGGTGAAACAAACCACTCTTGTTAGTTGAATAGCGAGAAATGAGTTGATCGAGTCAATTAATTACAAAATGCAACGCAACTAAAAGAGCTGAATAAAACTCTGGCCCAATTAGTATATTTTCCCTAATTTTAATTTTTAGGGCCATCAATAGACAAGGGCCTATGAGATAATTGCTAACTTTGTTTACTGGACTTTTCTATTAAGGCCCATCAATAGACAAGGGCCCATGATAATTGCAGACTTGTCTAGACCTGAACCCAGCCTTTGTGCATCAAATCCTTAGGCAAAGGCTCATGCCCATAAATCTGCATCCAAGATCCATATTAAGTTCTAGTGAACGTATCAAAATGCCAATTTCTGAACATTATTTGGCTTGGTTCGTGTAGGCTTGTGAACAATAAACTCGTGTAGGCTTGAATCATGGACATGGTTTTATAATATCTTATAAGTTCAAGAACGAGTTTAATAATTGATCTTAAATATGAGATTAAATTGAGCCTTAACAACTTTTATTATTAAACGAGTCGAGTCCGAATTTTTTAAAATAATGAAAAGCCGATCGTAAGTAGCTTTTCGAGTTCGTCTTAATCTCGAGTTTAACCCACAAATAAACAAGTCAAGTCTAAACAAAGTGGAGTTAAAAACGAGTTAAGTCTAAACAAAGTGAAACTCCGCCTAACTCGGTCCGTTATCAATAGGCAAGGCCCATGTTAATGCAGACTTCTCATGGAGGCTTTAACCAAGGCTTTGTGCATCCTAAGGCAAGGCCCATGTCCATAAGTAATGACCCATAATGATTGGGGAGAGAAGATACCAAGTTTATTCTTGATGAGGGAAGCGTCAATTACTTATTTACCCTCCATCCATGAGCTCATTCACTTTCTTTAACAAACTTTTGAGTTCCAACTACCAAACAGGGTCATTTTTTGTTCATTTATGTCACGCAAACGACGTCGCGGAGACCTCTCCTATCTAATCCTCTCAATTCAAATGACACGTGTCAAAAACAGAGCCAGTGCCCATAAATATCACTCCCGTGGAACTCCATGAAAATCTTCCCCCCAAGCTTTAAAAAATATCTTTTTTTTCATACAAAAAAAAAAAACCCACTCAGGCTGCGTGTTGGTAAACAGTTCTCTCTCTCGTGCGCGATGAATGCGAGAGCTTTTCTCGTCTCTTTCTCGCCACCCAAACACAACAATTCGACTGACCTACCACCTCCAAGAAAGTTTTTCTGCTCCAATTCGCGCACGAACACGCATCTCCGGTTTCGATTTCAGTTTCTCTCTCTAGAACGTACAGGTATAATTCATGTTTCGGGTATTGCGAAGGGCTCAGGCTCAGCTTTGAGAGAGATTGGCAAAGTTTGGGCAGACGTGAAGTCGGAGCCGTACGAAATAGCTGACTCGGCGGCAGCCGAATCGGTGAAGTTTGGGGACTCCCTGAGCGACGTCGTATTGGAGAATGACGACTTGGACAGTTCGCTTCCATGGTGGGAACAGATCCCCAAACGTTGGGTCATCGTGATTCTCTGCTTCTCCGCTTTTCTACTTTGCAATATGGATAGAGTAAGCTTCTGTGTTCTGTTCTGTTCTGTTTCTTAAATCATGTTTCTGCCCAACAGCACAAATTCCCTATACATATGCGTCTGTGTAACTTTTAAGCTGAGGATTTCACTTGAGAATTGAACCAGCTTGTGTGTATGTGTGTGTATGACATCCATGTGTTTGTGTGTGTGTGTGAGAGAGAGAGAGTTTAGATTTTAAACTATGTGGTTTTTGAAAACAAACCGGCTTCATGTTGCATAAGTTTAAATTTCTTCGTGGAAATGAGGTTGTTTAGAATGGAAATTAAGTTGAGCATTAAGCAGGTTCATGTTCCTTGTTCTTAATTATTACTATTATTATCATTATTGATGTTGCCTAAGATGTCATTTCCAATCCATTGGTAATTTGGTAGTCTCACCTCTTGACAATGGGTTTTGCAGTTGCATTTTTGTAATTATCTTGACTCGTTTCGATTAAAAGAATGCACTATGTGTGATCGTTAGATGACTTATTTTGGGGTGTTAATACATATGATTTCTTTTGCGCAAACTAGGCCTCCTTGTAGTCAGTCATAGTGAATACTGAATACCAATAAAGAAAAGTTTCAATCGAAAGCCTTGTGACTTTTGAGGCTGAATTTATTCTAGTATAATCAGTGTCACACCCCCACATTTTCCACGCATAAGTTGATCAGGCTTATACACGAAAAACGAGGGATATCAAAAACAATTGGCAATATACAAGCATGGAATACAAAATGATGATAATAAAAGAATTTAGACAAGAAAGGAACACTAAATAATACAACATCCATCCATCCTTTATTTAATACAGTACTTCATTACAATTTGGAAATCCTATGTCAAGGATCCCTAAATATAACTCTGAGAGTTCAACGTCAAAAGTAAATAAAAACTGAAACTGAAGTAATACATAAAACTTCTACCCTGAACTGGATCGTAAGAGTAGATGAGTTCGGATGGTGGTCCCACACTGCTAACCTCAACCTTGGAACGGGTACTGACCGTATCCTGAAATAACAACAATGGTGGGTCAACCCCACGAGCAAGTCCTCTCTACTATGACCCAAATCAGAGAATCAAATAAATTAATCATTATGAATCGGTTGAGTACTATATCTGTATACATTCTAAGGGAACTATCCCATGTATAACATGACCTCAACCAGAATAGACGGTGATCACTTAGACTCACACTAGGTGGTTAAGTGTCGCCTTTCCCCACCCGGGAAATCAGCTATTATACATGGTGCACGGTACTGACAACACAGACTATAACGAACTACACAGTGATAACACCTCGCAAAGTACTGATGAATATACTGAGCATATAAGTTAGGCAACACATGCCAGCAATATTAATAAATATACCGAGTATGTTAATTAGGCAACACATGCCAATAATATTAAACCACATACCCCGACAGCCACACATCTGTCTATAGCAACGAATGCATAAAGTATAAATGAGTCTAAACTTATTAGCCAGCTCACATGGTTCTATATGGCAACACATCCATATAATATAAATGCGACATAATTGAAACAGTCCATTTATAACCTGAAATGCACACAGCATAATAATCATGGTTGATATATGATTAACAGTATAAATATCTCATAATATATATTGGATAATTTATATGACTAAAACATGGCATTATTTAATTTAATACCATTTAGTAAGATATTAACACTATTTATATTTAACAATGTCATTTAAATAAATCACATTAATATCCGTACTGTGAACGAGTCAATAAATGCTTAGAAAAGATTAATCGGTCATAAGAATAAGTAACGGGTATTAAAATAATAATTTCGTGGCCCGTTAAACCCGTAAATACCAACACAGTACCTAAAAATCCAAGTTTAAGGTTCTGGAATTTACAAAACAGGCCTTAGGGGTATTCTGGTAATTTCCAGCAGCTGTAGAGACCCCACACGCGCCCTCACGCGCCTCCCAGAGCCTCCCACACGCGCCGCCACTTTTCTCACACGCGCACGCGCTTACACGCGCCTTCACGCGGGTCTAGAACCTCCCACGCGCCTCCACGCGCGTCTGGCATCAGCCACGCGCGCGCACGCGCTCCCACGCGCGCACCATGGCTTCCTGCAGACGTGTCACTTCCTAGTTGGTTGGCTGCATCCGGACTCCGTACTCGCGTCACACCGGATCATCTCACCCTATCTTCCCTCCATCCAACGCCCACAGATCCGGGTGTACCGCGGTAACATGGACCGCGGTGCACCGGATCAATCGCTGCTGTTTAATGGTCCAGATGCGCGCGCATACCCTCCTATGGTGCGCCGCATCACACCGGATCACTCCGGTCATCTCCCCCATTGCCGGCGACCGGAAAACTCGCCGGAAGGTCGCCGGAAATTGCAGAAACTTATCGGAAAATTCTAGAAAATTCTAAAAAAAATCCCAAAGGCCATAATAATTATTTTTAGCTATATTTTGATTACATAGGCCATAAAATAATTATCGACCACCTTTAATAATTAAAATTTCCTTTCTTTAATAAATAAAAAAATTAATTTAATAATTTCCTAGCATGATCTCTAAGCTCTATAATTATTTAAATAATCTAAACAATTAATTTATGGATTCAAAGGGGAAAAGTAGATAATAACTTGCCTTTTTGGATTTAAAATAAATCCGCCGGTTGCGCGTAGTCGGGTAAATTCCCTACACCGGTCCAAGCTCCTTTCTTTCTCTCTCTTCCTTTCCACACTTTTACAATGGCTCACTAGAATTTATAATTTGTTTCTAACTCCCTTTCTTTCCTTCTAAGGTAGGCTAGCTAATTTATATACAAATTATATAATATAAATATTACAAATATCTATTTTTGCATTTAATTAACCACATTCCCAACCATAAGGCTTTAAGGCTAGCAAGCCAAGTCAAGCAAGATGTCCTAAGGTAAATCCTATCCTAAGATTTAATTTTTTCATCATTACATTGATTTAATACTAATATTATTATTACTAATATTATTATTAATAAAACTTTTATAATTATTATTATAATATTATTATTATTATTATTATTATTATTATTAAACTATTATTATTATTATTATTATTACATAAGAATACATTATATCATTATAATACTTTATAACACAAATATAATACTTTAATTAACTAATAATGATTAATATAAGCATAACCAACAAATAAAATTATTAATAATAATACATGCATAATTAAATGAATAAATTTACTATTTTAACATACACAATTAATTTACATGCACCATTAAATGATCTTAATATAACAATGTAGCATGCACAATAATAGGTAAAGGAATCCACACATAATTGAATTTAAATAAACTAAACTCTTTAATAAAATACGGGGTATTACAATCAGCCTCTGTTCTTTAGATCCCTTGTTTTACTTTGATAGTATCATAGATCGTGTCAATGCACAGGAAATGAATGTGTTTCCATTATATCAAGTCTGAAGTAATTGGGATCTCCCCACTAATTACTAAACTGTATCCAATTGAAATTTTCTTAGTGAATGAAAAAAGGATAAAAAAAAATAATTTGGATCATTCTAAATTCTGTTATGCTAGTCCACCTGTTGGCTTTTTCTCTGATACTACTTTCTGACTTTGCTCTGATACCACATTGTTAGAAATAGTGGGCTATACAAACAAATGCAAGAATCTATATAATTTGAAAGAGAAATGGAGGAAGAAATATAGTATTTCACTTATACCTTAATAAAATTGCTAGAGTACATGATTATATAGGCCTTGAAAACACATATCTATGAATTACATATAAATGCCCATAACTCTCATTTCTCCCACTAACATAATCTTCAATAGGCATAACTCCAACTAACATAGTATTTACTAGGTTCAACTCTCATAACTCTTGATTTTACATAACATTAACTCCCACTAAGAAATCAAAATTTTATCAAATAAGTTTATATCTAACTTCTTTGAAATTGGAATTTGGAACTATACCTGAAATTGTTAACTCACCAATTTCATCAACTTTTGTCTCTTCTTTAGCACATTCTTCTTCTTTAATTTCTCTTTCCACTTCAATCTCCTCCACTTTTTCAATCTTTTCTTCAACATCTTTCTTTATCTCTTCCTTATTCACCATTTCACTTTGGCCTTCAACTTTTGAATCTTCAATTTCTTCAACTTAATTGTGTTGTACGCCTCTTCATTCTGCACAAATTTGTCCTCTAAACTTTCATAATTAGCCTTCGTAAACTCATCATCCTCAAAGCATTGTACCCAATACTCCATGGGTAGTGATTCACTTCTATGATTGGAAACAATGGTCTCGAGCATCTTCCAAACACAACTTAGAGTTTTGGACTCTCCAAAATCCTCCCAAATTTCTTGATGTATTGCTTTCTGCAACACTACCAATGCCTTTTCTTCTTTCTTTTCTCGAAGCTTGTTGGACATGCCATTCTTTGGCTCTAATCCAACAACATCCCACAAATTACATGCTTTGAGGTATGAAGTCATGATGATTCTCATTCTCCTGTAATTAGAGAACATCATCTTCTCACTAAGAAAATACATTTTCTCCCCTTCATCATCATCAAGGAGAAACATGTTTTTCTCAAATGTTGAACCTTCTAGGATCAACGTCATCAGGCCTTCAGGATCATCTAGGCTCTGAACATGAAATCTGGCTCTGATACCACTTTGTTGGCTTTTTCTCTGATACTACTTTCTGACTTTGCTCTGATACCACTTTGTTGGAAATAATGAGCTATACAAGCAAATGCAACGATCTATATAATTTGAAAGAGAAATGGAGGAAGAAATATATTATTTCACTTATACCTTAATAAAATTGCTAGAATACATGATTATATAGGCCTTGAAAACACATATCTATGAATTACATATAAATGCCCATAACTCTCATTTATCCCACTAACATAATCTTCAATAGGCATAACTCCCACTAACATAGTATTTACTAGGTTAACTCTCATGACTCTTGATTTTACATAACCTCTCCCACTAAGACAATTTACTACCCACTAACATATATGATAAATTCACACGTGCATCATGGATATAAAAATACTTGAAAATACTAAATACTAAAATACTAAAATCAGGTTTATTATTCAACACCACCACCATTGCTTAATGCTGATTAACTCTCATTGCCCCAGCCTTACAGTGAGTTAACTAATAAACTAAAAGGGGGAGTAAAAGGATAATATATGGTGATGAGCGCATGCCATTGTCTCGAGCATGTAAAAGAAGTAAGTTAACAATGCCTGAGAGAATTACCAGTTTGTATTCAATAACAACTCCCTCAAAGTTGAACTGTTGGCTTGGCCTAGTATTTTATGTGGTGAGCCTGAAAATATTATGGAGGTTAAGGGTTCAAATTTTGGGGCTTAGGACTAAGGGGTTTGAAATTCTTCTGTCTTTCAGACAAAAAAGAAAAAGAAAAATTGAAACTCTTGATCTCTCTCTTGTAACTAATTCCTTAAATAATTGGTTAACCTAAATATAATTGGAATTTATTTCCTTTGTGATTGATGTCACAGACGTTGTCACATTGCTGGTTAGTTATTAGTTCTTCTAGTTAGAAACTTTAAACAGATTCTGTTTTGCAGGTAAACATGAGCATTGCTATTCTTCCAATGTCCCAAGAATTCAACTGGAATCCAACAACTGTTGGTTTGGTACAATCTTCCTTTTTCTGGGGCTACCTTCTTACTCAGGTGACCAACAAGCTCTCTTTGTTCACTTTTGTTTTTTTGACTTACATGTCAGACATTTCTGTTTCTTTTAGTTTACCTCTGGGTTAGATTTCTACTTGATGACTCAAATTCCAGCTTATTACTATCTAACTATTCTGTATGGTAACTTGATGCCAGTATTGTACAGATAAAGGGATTAGTCATCTCTCTTATGTGCCGATGACATATCCATCATGTCTTATAACATTTCATTATAACTTGTTCTTGTTTTCTTCCTAACTTGCAATATTAAGCTCAGATTGCTGGAGGTATTTGGGCAGACACAGTTGGTGGGAAGGTTGTACTGGGATTTGGTGTAATTTGGTGGTCTGTTGCTACAGCTCTCACTCCAGTTGCTGCTAAGTTAGGATTGCCTTTTCTACTAGTTGCTCGAGCTTTCATGGGGATTGGTGAGGTTGGTTTTGTAATTCACTCTTACATCTATTTCCTTCATCTGTTCAGTCTCTTAGAGAAAGATTAAAAAATGAAAAACTTGAAATCTATTCATATATAATGGGGTGATGAATTGACAATGATGACGTTGTCTTTATCTTTTTATTTTCTGTTATGTTCATAGATAATGGATGTTACCTGGTTTAGTTTTCTTCTATTTTGATGAGTCAGGGTTCTTTGTTCTCTTTTAGGGCGTTGCAATGCCAGCTATGAATAATCTTCTATCAAAATGGGTTCCTGTAGCAGAGAGAAGTAGATCATTGGCACTTGTATACAGTGGAATGTACCTTGGATCTGTAACTGGCCTGGCGTTTTCACCATTTTTGATACATAAGTTTGGGTGGCCATCCGTCTTTTACTCCTTTGGTTCTATAGGAACAATTTGGTTTGCAGTATGGCTAGCTAAGGTAACTTTTGAATTATTTGAGATTTTAAGACAATTGTTTCTGTTGCAAAGTATGTGGAGCTGAGATTTTCCCATAGGCACACAGTTCACCTCTTGATGATCCTCAACTGCGGCCTGAAGAAAAGAAGCTGATTCTTAGCAACAGCTTTTCGAAAGAACCTGTTAAAACAATACCTTGGAGATTGATCTTGTCAAAAGCACCTGTATGGGCCTTAATAGTGTGTCACTTCTGTCACAATTGGGGGACGTTTATTCTTCTGACGTGGATGCCTACGTACTACAACCAGGTAAATCTTATTATTGTTTGCTATTTATGGGCTCCTATCTGAATATTTTGCTATTACAAGCTTCTGTAATGTGTGATATAGAGGATTGAGGACTCTGAACCATACAGGCTTGCTTGTTGGCATGTATTATTTGGATGTTCAATTTCCACTAGCTTATGCCTGTAGGGTTATAGTTAGACAACAATGCTGCCAAAGCTCTGTCTTTCTTCTTAATTATTTTTGCTGCAAAAATGTTGAAAGCTAAAATTAGAGATAATTTCCCATGCCTCTTTGTGGTACAACTTCTTGTGATTTTGATTATCATCTTGACTTTTTGTAAAATAATGTTTGATCGCTTAAAGTATTGACTGGAGGACATATCCTTTTCTCTTTGCTATATTCTTTTTCAGGTCTTGAAGTTCAATCTTACAGAGTCTGGTCTGCTTTGTGTATTGCCCTGGCTTACAATGGCAATTTCTGCAAATGTTGGAGGGTGGATTGCGGACACACTTGTGAGCAAAGGTTTATCTGTGACTATGGTCCGAAAGGTATTACTCAATTTTATTATTTTATTAACTGTCTAATTTATACTCTGAAGGAGTAACTTTGTTGTAATATACATTAATATGTAAATTTCTAGGGCTACATTTTCAGTAAAATTCTCCCAAGATGATACTATGCGATTGAGTTATCTCTAGACTCTAGTCAAGAGGTTGGATCTAAGGAGACCCTTGCTCTTGCCTCGTAAATTGAGATCTAATATAAGACAAGTGTTTTGGCCCATCAAGGGACAGACATGGCAAAGTAGAGTGCATAAAACAAGATAGGTCACATGTCAGATTTACATTTGTCAAAGGGAGACGCGTCCATGTTCCTGTTACCCCATTAGGACTGTTAAGTAATTAGAGAATGTCATGTGTCCTCAGCACATGGCGGGTGCTTTGTTAGAGGTTGTTATGCAAACACAGGTGAAATGTTATCACTTAGCAATTTAAGGTCCAGTTCCTACACCCTTAACAATTTTGTCCATCCCACTCATAGTGCTGGTCAAGTTAAACTGGTAGTTTTCTTCAGAACGGCTATTAGTTGTTATTTTAGATATGCTGTTGAGATGATCTCAGCTCAGCTTGGTGCATCTCTTGAAGATTTCATTTTTTTTTTTTTTTTTTATTATTATTGTTGTTGTTGTAGTTTTAGGTTTCTGAAATGCTGATATTTGTTTTTCTGCAGATCATGCAGACGATTGGATTTCTTGGCCCTGCATTCTTCCTAACTCAGTTGAGCCATATTAATTCCCCTGCAATGGCTGTTTTGTGCATGGCTTGTAGTCAGGTTAGCTTTTTGCTACTTATGGACCCAAAAAATGGATGTATTTTTACCTTGAATTTTTTAAAATTATATTCTCGAATTTTCTAAAAAGGTCCATGACAGATTGAACTTTAAATTCATTCTATGTATTGCTTTGCGTAAATATTTTACAGCATCATGAATATATCTTGAGATGATCCTGAATTATATGATTTTCTAATTCCCCATTTAAAAGAAGAAAGGAGGGAGAACACATATTTTCCTTCATTTTGGCACTTGTTCATCATATTGGCATCTGGCAGTACTTTTATGCTTAGTGTGCTGTTTCACGTTGAGTTTTTAAATAACTTAGTTGGTCTGGAGAGTGGGCATGACAAATTCTACCAATATACTTAATGAGTATAGTTTGATTTTACATAGCATCAATAGGCAGCATACTGTACAGAGGCTTTTGACTTTCCCTACTTGTTCCTTCTCAGATTTTCTTTAGCAGAATTTATAACTTTTTACAAGGTTCATACTAGGCATCTACATAGCTCTTCTGGAATCATTGCCAACCTGGATGATGACATCTCTGTTATTTGCAAATCTCATTCTTTTATCAAACTTCGAACTTCAGTATCACACAAATTTTATTTTGTGGTAATGTCATACGTAACGACATTTTTGGTTTAACCATACATATTTTCTCTTTATATGCTTTTTCCCATTTTTCTCCATAGGTAAGGTACACACACCCACTTTGTCCGAATTGGGACCTGAATCTGCAACTGCCTTTCCGGGACAGTTGAGCTGATACCAATCAGGCAAATGCTCGGTGTACCATTATTTCATTTCTTTGTTTTTTTTTTTTTTAATTTGAAATCCAACTTCCGTGCTACTGGACTACGTAGAGATGTCCTAATACTAAACGGAATTGCATTGAAATTGTTTATGATGTTTATTCCTTCATTCTCATTAACGGGGATTATGGTTATGGTTCAGATATTAAATCCAACCTGACCATATTTTCCATTTTGTATAACACAGGGAACTGATGCATTCTCACAGTCTGGTTTATATTCAAACCATCAGGATATTGCCCCTCGATATTCTGTGAGTATCTCTATTATTTTTAATTTTTTTAGTGAACTAATGGTGCTTGCTATTGGAAATATTGATATCATAGGGTGGTCATCTGGGGTCTGAATGGTGGGCATGAACTTCATATTGCCATTATACCATTGAGCCATGATTCCATGAATCAATTGGCAGAGGGTTCCCTTGTAATGGTGTTTGATTTTATTCTGCACCATCATGGGGTTCTGGTGGTCATGGTACTATAATCTTTTCACTAGGGAAAAGTAATTTTTCTTACTTTTTCTTTTAAATTGTTTTGCAGGGGGTATTGCTTGGTCTATCCAATACTGCTGGAGTATTGGCAGGCGTCTTTGGAACTGCTGCAACTGGTTATATTTTGCAACATGGTTTGATCTCATGTCCTTGTCTTTTTTAAACTGCTAAAAATCCAACACAGGACTATATGATATATTATCTGAAGATTCAACAGAACTTCAAGCTTTAGTTTCTCATATCTTCAACTGGAGAAGACCTGGTGTGGGACTATCGTAACACAATTGATGCATATATAACGATAGCCATAGAGCGACTCCATTGAAACGTTTGAATGTGAGACTCACCACTTGAAATTGGTTGCCTAGGAAGCACGGGTGCAGATAGGACACAACATAGACATGGTGACACGGCAAATCCTAAAAATTAAGACACTGTACTTATAGAAAATAAAACTGTGGTTGTTGTTGATTGGCTTATTTGGCCTCAAATTTGGGCATCTTTAGCAATTCCTAATTATGGCTGGCTAGGAAATAAGCTGAGGCTCAAATCGTAGCATAAACTTGAATAAAATTTGGTCCTAGATTAGCTCAGATTGAAGTACATATGTTTACATGTATATTTTAGATATAAGTTCTATAATATTTTGTAGACAAACTGTGGGGTTAACTTGATGAAGACAAATAATGAAGTCCAAATTAGTTTTTAAAAAAAATCATGATTCCACAACCAAATGAGAAGACCAATGGAATGTTTAGAAACAGTGGATTTAGTCACTTCTGTGCATAAAAATGATAAGGCTGTTGTGTCTAGACCAAAGTCACATAAGGTGGGAGCGGCGGAATTAAGTCATAAGCAGTGAGAATTTGAGCGAGGGCGCGTGGAGCGTGAGAGCGGGAGTGCGCTCGGAGAGTGAGAGCGACATCTGTTGAGAAAGATTGTGTGACTTACGTCTAAACCTTTCATTACCAATGTCAGACTTATATGGCCCTGGGGACCCTAAGATATTATGAAGACAAGTCACTTTTGTGCATGACGATGCTAAGGCTGATGTGTCTTAACCTTGCATTACCAATGATAGACTTACTATGGCCTTGGGGACCCTTAGATATTATGAAAACAAGTCCTGCTAACATGACAAAATCTGCAATCCTTCTGTAATCATGGGATACCTGTTGAACTGAGTTCCTCCTCGCAACATCTTGATTTGTTGAAATGCGTGTCTCTCTGTCTTGACCTGAAAGCTATCTGTATAAATTGAGACAATCGGCTTACATTTGCATTCTCTGATATATATATTTGTCCTCTCTCAGGAACTCTCAAATGATATGCATTGAAAGGTTTATTTTAATTTGTTTTATTCCATACTAAAAGAAGAATTTTATTACCCTCTCCAAATTGATGATTCTCAGGTTCTTGGGACGACGTCTTCAAGGTTTCAGTTGGACTGTATTTGGTTGGGACCGTAGTCTGGAATCTCTTTTCAACTGGTGAGAAAATATTGGATTAATTCTTAGATATACTGGTCTTACGGATGCGGCAAGCATGAGTAGAAAAGAGGGGTGCAATTGAAGAAAAGGGAAGAAAGTGAATGAACTTGGTTAGGAATTAAGGAGAGAGCAAGTTGATTTATGTGCTTGTTCCTCTTGAAGAATAGGAGAAATTTTTTGAACCCCATGCAAGGAGCCAACTAAAGATGCTTCTATGCCAGCGCCCGCGCATATAAGCGGATTTTAGTTCGATTAAGTGGCTCCTCTCCCATGCCATCTTAATTGAGGGAAGATTAGTACATAAAACCATCCTCACACTGCCTGTATATGTTATTTAGGACCAAATCTAACACCAATTTTGTCATTATTAATTGAATAAATATTGATTTATCTCATTTCTAGCATTTATTAGAAAAAATTCATCTTCAAATTAAACTCCTGTGCTGTTATAGGTCTATGGAAGTATGTATATGACGATAAAAGAGAAAAATAGTACTGCATTTTCAGATGTTCATGTCCCGTTGTCCTTCATTTTCTTATTTTAGCTAGTCATGTACAATCAGCTTTATTATATGATTTTATTGACAATATATTTTGAGCGTGTAGAAAATAATCTTTCATTTAGCAACTTTACTTGGTTGGTTATGAATGTGCCATCATTGGTGTAAATACCAATACAATTAGCTCTAGTTGAGGCTGGATAAATTAAATTAGGGTTTAAGACCAATTTTGCATTTGGCTCATTCATCTCAGTTTCATTATCAGAAATGTTTGTAATTTGTCCTTTCTCAGGTAGAGGTTATGGTTCACAATATGAGTGTTTAAACATACTAGTTTAATGTCACATACAATTTTGAACAATTATTTACTAAGGTTCGTTTGGTTAGCATGAAGTAGATAGAAAGAAAAAGAAACAGAAGTTTGGTTAGCGTAAGAGAAAATTTTTAGAAAAGTAAATTCTCGCAACCGTTTAATTTTCCTCAAAATGTTTTTCGTAACAGTGAAATTTTACTTTCCCGTAAAAGTGGTGCCTTCATATCTTAGTTTCCTATCATGCTCATGCAACTTTCTCCACAAACTTTATTAATAGGTTAGTTCCCTTCTATTGTAAATTGCTTATATTTTAATGTAATATTAATTTAATTGTATATAGTTTATATATATATATATATATATAAAAATCTAAATATTTAGGAGCAGAGTGTAGGGTGAAAAACTAGGATTAGTGTCTCTACGTATACAATTTACAATTTAATTCATACATAGACTTCTTTCGACTTTAGGACTCTAAGTAAATTAGATATACCAAATTAATTTAGTTTTAATTCTACATATAGTAGATGTATCAAACTAATTTAGTTGAAGCACTATATTTCGTTTAGACTAAAAACTTTTTTTTCTTTCTAACTTGTGCCTATAATCACATATATCAAATTATTAATTATCATATTCACTCTTTCATTTTGCATTTAAAATTTTAATTTTCTTCATTATTCAAAAAATAGAGTAATGTCTCAAAAAAGTACAAAGTAATTTTATAATTAAAATGATAGTTTTGGTAATTACAATTACTTTCTTTTGGCTTTCATACTTTCCAAACTCACAAAAATATGCAACTATGTGTTTTATTGAACATTTATAAAACCAAATCCATGGATAGGACACATCCGGTATATGCCAAGACATTACAAATATAATCTGCTGCAGTATAGACTATGGACAGGTATACAAATTTCAAATTTAACCGGCCAACAACTTTTTTGAAACAATAGAAACAAAGGTAAATAAAATTTAATAACCAAAATACCCTTTTTAAGACACCACATGAACAACCAACACCCTCGTCGTAAATCCAATTGAGTGACCAGATTGCCCCCCATGAAGCAGATCAAGAGAGACCGGCTTTATGAAAAGACAAATACACCCTCCATCTATGCACACGTGGCAGCCCCAGAAGCCCCCAGCAGACGTGGATGCAAGTTCACACGAAGCCCATTCTTCATGAACAAAGTCAGAGACATCTTCTGCTCAACCCGGTGACCGGGAACCAGCGAGAGCCGGTAACGCAGCAGTACGGCCGAAGCCACGGACTTCATCTGCAGGTAAGCCAAGTCCTTCCCTAAACAAGTCCTTGGACCGGCATTAAAAGCAACGAACCGGTACCCATCCTTGGGCTGTTCGAACCCGTCACCTCCGGTTGAGAGCCACCTCTCCGGTTTAAACTCCAAACAATCCTCACCCCATATACTCTTCATCCTCCCCACCGAATATATCGAATATGTCACCGTCGAACCTGCCGGCACGTGCGTCCCGTCTGGCAAAACATCGTCGGACACGACATACTTAAAGTCCTCCGGCACCGAGGGGTATAAACGCAGCGTTTCTGCCAATGCAGCCTTTAGGTACACCAACCTATCAGCTTCATCAAACACTAAGGGCTCTTCAATCCATAACCGTTGATCATCACCACGAGTGTCCTTCAAAACCGTTGATATTTCATTTATGATCTTTTCTTCTACATGAGGGTTGTTCATGACAAGCCAAAAGAACCAGCTCAGAGCAACCGATGACGTGTCACGACCGGCGAGGACAAAGTTGAGTGCAATGTGTTTGAGGACTGAGCTCGGAAATGGGTTTCCGTCTACGTCTTTCTTCTTAATGAAACGCGATAAAAGGTCGTCGGAAGGAGTCTCTTTCCGGGCCGTTAGTGCATCGGTCATGTAGTTCTCGACAACTTCAAGACTCTTTTTCAGTCTCATTTCAGATCCAATGCAGAGAATTTTGTTTAGCTTCCATACAAAACCCGGGTTGATGAACCGTTGCAGAGTCGACTCGGTGGCAGAGTCGAACGCCACGGAGAACGGGTTTTCCGGTAAGTCCGGCGAGAGAGTCTCCGGATCTTTACCGAATGTGAGCCCACATATGTTATCAAACGTTAACCGGAGCAAGAGGTCTTGCAAGTCCACCGGGGTGTTCTCCGTGGAGGCCTTCTCTAAAATGAACCATAGGCGTGTTTTAATGGTCCGATTCACCCACCGAGCCATGGCTTGTCGGAGTGTCCGTGTAGTGAACTCGAGAGCGGCAGTTTTGCGCTGTATGAGCCATGTTTCACCGTCACTGTTGAATATGCCTTGACCTAGAAGGTCATGGAAAGCGGTTTGCCAGGTGGGACCTTTGGGGTAGTTGTCGAACCGGGTTCGGAGGATGTGTTCGATGTTTCTTGGGTGACAGGTAACCGTAAAGAACCCTTGCTTGCGAGCCAAGAAAGGTATGGCAATGGTGCATGTTTGATATGTGGCAGCACCGCCGGTTTCACGGAGGTTTCTGGCCATCCAGTCATGGAGACGACTCCGGTTCATGAAGAGAACCGGGAGGCTTCCCACGACCGGCCAGACCTTGGGACCGGTGAGCTTTCTAGCAAGGTTGTAGAACCAGAGGAGGTAAGCAGCTGCCACAGTGAAGATGATAATTAGGGTTTCCATGAAAGAAGAGAATCAAGTTAGTGGGAAGAATGGAATGGAGAGAGTTGGAGAAATCTACAATTTTGGCAGTGAATGAATGAGAGAGGAGAGAGGTTGACGTGATATATATAGTGTGATATTATGAGAAGGGTTTAGGAGAAAGTCGTTGGGAAATTTTTGGCCATTTTTGGGTTGCTGTTTGGTTGATAGGAACTGTGCCGTGAGTTTATTTAATTACCTACGAAACCGTGTATAGTTTTTTCGAGTAGTGATGGTGATGTGGTCACAGTACTTCTACCAGAAGCATCTGCAAAGGTATATGGTTGGCTATTTACTTGTTTATTTTATTAATGAAAGTACTAATTAACTGAAAAGCAATGAATCTAAAATATTCATTCATATATTAAGAATTTTGCATATTTTTGAAAAATATTGGGTATATTACCTAGATTATACAATAGTCACGTTAGGTAGGAAATATGAAATAGAAAAAATTGGTTCAATTGAAAAAATTGGCTCAATTGAATCGATTCTTTCTAAGTGAAAATAGTTTCTAGATGACCATATTCACATTCATATAAAAGAGCACATATCATTCCATCATAGAAAGAAGTGTAATTAAACACTCAAAGAATTTCATTGTTTAATGCATTCTGAATTTGATCACTTGGGTCCACACGGATGACCTTTATGCTTTTTCTTTTTCCAGAGGCTTTATGCACGAATTGAAAATTAAAATTTGGGCTATACATCTTTAATCATATATATTTACCAAAATGCATGTACCACTAACTTGAACATTGGTCAATCAAAGCGAGCGAGAAATGTGTGCGTGTGTGTGTGAGAGAGATAGAGGGTGGTTGAATCTGTTGACCTGCTTTGAGAAATTGGGTTTGTCCAAAAAAATGGAGCGGATGTGAAGAAGAAGCTGAAGAAGGCTGAGAGGACACGAATTTGACTCCCAGAGCGAGTGAAGAAAATGTTGGGTGGAAGAAATTTGCCTTTCCTTTATTAGGGAAACCCGCGGAACCAAGTCACCAACCAATAAGTTCAGTATTTGCACTTACCCTTAGATCACACACAGATGCGTGTGTTCTATTTGTGTATATATACATACATATATATGTGTACGTGTTTATACATTGTTACACCTAGATCTGAAGGGCCATTAATGATTTAGATGGACGAGTTGTTGGGATTATGTGATCTAAAATTCAATTATTTCTTTTTTTATTTTTATATTTATTTATTTGATTTAATGAATAAATTAAAAATCATAAATGGATCATGTGCATAATTCCAACATTCGGCATTGAGTCGATATGCACTGTGCTCAAGTTGAATTTTATGGATCTTAGCGTGTAAATAAAATTTAAATACAAGTTATTTGAGTTCACCATATTCTTGCAACTTGACGTTGTTTTCAACGGTGATATAAATGAAATGGACTTTTGTAAGACTATAATCCGCTAAACTTCTATGAGATTAGTGTGGGGTATAAATTTTACCATCCAATCGGTTGCACTTTTAGGGTTAATCTGCTCTCTGGAAAAGTCAAACTTGCTTAAGTATGCGAAAAATTAGTTTTTGATAATTTTTTAATTTCTTGTTTTTACTCAAACTTGTAGGGCAATTTTGAAAGCTCTTTTTAACTATTGTAAGGTCTCTCACATATATATATATATATATAATCTATCTCTAATCCTAAAAGTGAGTGGTTGTTTCAATTGAAAAATCAAAGTTTTTATCTTTACATTGAAGTTTTTGGATAGATTTTTAAGAAAAATCTTATTATATATTTTTGAGACCATACACTTAAACACGGTAGTTATTAGGATGAACTTTGTCTACTGATAAATATGGAATGTTTAGAGTCTACATCATATTATAAATTAATCAAAACAATCTTTTTTTTTTTTTTTTTTTTTTTTTTTTTTTTTACAAACCTTCATAAAGCTCAAATTTGAAGGATGATAAGATCTCGATCACACTTTGAAGGGATCAAGACGTTCGCTCCGATCTACGAAAGTGATAGAGTTTGCTGTAAATAGCCAGTCAGAAATGACAGAGGTGCTCCTTTTCACCTGCTGGTCATTTGATCTGATCTCCTCTTGTAGTATCGCAATGGTCGATTCCATCGGTTATAGTCGAAAAGAAGAATCACAAGCGATTTTTCAAACCAGAAGGGGTATTTATTTTCTTCTATATAATTCCATATTTTCTAAATTATGTATCTCCTGTTGTCCTACTTTTGCCTCTTATTCTATAAGATCAAGAGTAAGTCTGAAGTTAAGTGCAATTGAATGGGAGAGTTACAAAGCTAAAGACTGTCAGTAATTGGTTTTTGGTAGAATAAAAGGGTGTGAGTTTAGGTCAAAGTTCATTCTATTCTTTCTGGGCTGGCAACGGAACTCACCTAGGTAGGGCCCCTTTGGGACCCACCTGAAATACCACTAATTTTAAAAGGATAGTCTCGATATTTGAATTAATTGTTTTTATTGCATTTTATTTTAATTATTTGCTTATTTGTTGATTTGTTTTATTTTATTTGAATTAATTGGTTATTTGTTTATTTAATTGAATTAATTGATTAATTGGATTTAATTGATTTCTTGGTTTATTTGTTTTATTTCCATTTTTGCTTAGGTAGAAAAGTTAAGTTAATTATTTGTTTCCATTAATTATTTAGTTAGGTTATGAGATTAAAACATTATAAATTTTAAAAATGTTAAATTAGGTTTTTTTTTATTCTTGTATGAAATCACATGTTAGCCGACTAGGATTTAGTTAGGTTTTTCGTCTCTGATTATAATTGGACTTAGGTGGTTATAAAGGCGTATAAATATATGTAATAAGTTTGCCTAGGGTTTTAGAACCATATTCACGGCACAGTGGAGGCAGAGAGACGTAACAGCGAATTGTGAGAAAAACAGAGAGATTAAAGTTGTGGTTTTCGACTGTGGATTAAAGGAGACCAAGGAGGAGGGAAGGTATTGCTTGAGGATTTAAACCAGAGCAGTAGGAGGTTGACAGTGAACGGAAGTCGTCGAAAAACTTAGGAAGACGACGCCGAGGTTTTAATTCAAAATCTTACAGACAAATTTTATTCTTACTCTCTCCCTTTGATCTGTGTTCTGTGCATGCCTAGATATCTCTAAGATTTTAATCGGACATTAAATAAATCTTGTATGCTTATTAAATCAGAATTAAACTGTATTTGTTCTGTAAATTCAATCCTTTTCTTCGCATCAATTTTTTTCTCATATGTGTTCTAAGTTTTTGTTAATGATGCCTATTGGAGTTTTGATACTTTATGAGGTATTTTGGGACATGAATTGAACCCTAGGAACTGTATTAGATATCACAGAAGGTTCTGTACCAACGTCGGAGGCGAAAAAGACGAACTAGAGGAGGAAACCGCTCTCTGTGGGAGAGAGAGCCGACTCCCTAAGTGAGATAGCCGGCTCTCCATAAGGGAGATCCGTCTCCATGGATGGGAGAGTCGGCTCCCATAAAAGGGGAGCTGGCTCCCTTGCTAGGACACCCATACGGGGTGTATTTTTGATGTTTTTTTTTTTTTATTCCAGAGACTTAACTGTGAATTCTGAAAATTAATAGGGGGTTTTAATTGATTTAAATTAACTTGTTAGAACCCTAAAACAGTTAGTATATGCTAATATTACTGGAGATCATGGAATTTAATTAATTTATTGCATGCTGTCAGTGGATGTGGACTATTTATTTACTTGTTGTTGTTCAAGCAAGTTAACTGGTTGTGTATGATTATACTTAAGTATAATTGAATAAAATATGTTCAATTGGTTATCTGATTTATATTATATCATTCCCTGAATTTTAATTGACGCTCTATTGATTTCTACTTTGTCAATTATTGGATTCTCTTGTGGATTAATTGAAGTTTAAATCTAATTATTTAAATTGTCAATTACATGGATATTATTCTGGATGTTAATTGATGAACCCTTAAATTATGTTCTATCAATTTTATGAATGTTATGGATTGTATGCACCGGTATGGAACGGTGGCATATTAGGGATGATTTAGCTCAAAACGCTAAGGCCTACCTATTTTGGAATAAGGGAATTGATTATAAAATTAAATCCTACTTATATTTAAGTCAGATCAACTGAGTAAGTTGAGCGACTACCTAGATTATTTGTTATTGGTGGTTAAGTCAAATCAACTAAATAAGATGAGTAACTAACTGGATAGTTATGTCAGATCAATGAATAATTGAATGACAGACTCTGGTTTTGGAGACTTTAAATATATATGATTATGGTACCACGGTTTGAGCTTGAGTCTCAGAATCGATAGTTCGGGAACGTATATGCATTGGGATACATAGCTGGCTATGACGGTTGAGGTATACCCTATTAGGTCTAGGTATTCATACCTACCTCTGGTGCGTTTTGCATGTTACCTTCTATTCAGGTTGAGACCCCTTTGTAGTCCAGTGAGAGTCCCTTAGTGTGGATATATATATGTATGGACTAGATAGATATTGTTGAGATATCTAGGATGTATCTGCGTATCGGGTCTCTGTTTGGATTGTAGTTAGAATATAACTTGTTCGTGGGCCTGACTCACTCTTATTTTTTAGGTGTTCGACAGTTCCAGCCTTAAAGCTTGATTGTGTTGAGCAGAGACAGTCACTCATTCCTTCGATTACGTAGGATTTCTCTTTATGTTTTAGTTTGGATTTTATTTTCAATTATTTAGTTCCAATTGGGATTTTGTTTAGGGGTCCACTAGATGGATTCCCGAGTTGTACTCTTAGAAGTTTTGGGGAAGTTTGGTTTTTATTAAGGATAATACTTGTCTACTCACCGGTGAGTAGGAAACTTATACTCACCATTAATGTGTCGCATTGCTAAACTGACAAGTGTTCTTACATTAAAATAAAAAATAAAAAATAAACAAATCTAAGGACACTTAAAAATCTATGATATGATTTGCTCCTCTGACGTGGTCAATACCAACACACAAAGAAATGAATTCATCTACCACTCAAGGCCCTTGTCCATCTTTCTATAAAGTTACTGGAGAAAAAAGACAGTTGAAACTTGAAATTAAATGGGGCTCA